GTACATCCATCCCAATGACTTGCGCACGGAAAGAGGTGTCCAGATGCGTGTGCTCCCAGGCTGCAGAGGAGCTTATTACAGGTATGGAACTCTGCTGGCTCTTTAGACTGTGAGAACTCTGCTCTCAGCCAGTTTTTGTCTTCTTAATGTAACACATGGTTTTCCGGTAGTTTGTGTGTCAAGAGACACAATTTCTCTCTTACACTGCCTGCCCCTGTTTGTGCCTCACATTGCTGCCCTCCTTTTATCAGGTCCTCTTCAACACACACACACACACACACACACACACACACACACACACACACACACACACACACACACACGTGTCCTCTGCAGTCCAGACCTTAGATGTCCTGAAATACAATGCTTAGCTTACCCTGCCACATCATACTCCTTCCATTATTGTTTAGCTTCCCACTTTATACGTAATCATTATGCTAAACTACCACTTATCTATTGCCTTATAATTTTTTTTTTTTTTGAGACAGAGTGTCGCTTTGTTGCCCAGGCTAGAGTGAGTGCCATGGCGTCATGGCGTCAGCCTAGCTCACAGCAACCTCAAACTCTTGGGCTCAAGCGATCCTTCTCCCTCAGCCTCCCGAGTAGCTTGGACTACAGGCATGTGCCACCATGCCTGGCTAATTTTTTCTATATATATTTTTTAGTCAGTCAATTAATTTCTTTCTATTTATAGTAGAGACGGGGTCACCCTCTTGCTCAGGCTGGTTTCAAACTCCTGACCTTGAGCAATCCTCCCACCTCGACCTCTCAGAGTGCTATGATTACAGGCGTGAGCTACCACACCCAACTATATAAAGATTTTAAATTTAAAACTCTTTGTTGCAATGGGGTTTTAAACTTGTAAATCTACTCCTTGCCATTCCTAATTGAGCAACCATGTAAAAAAATATTTTTTTATTTATCTTTACTTTTTTTCACTTCTTTTATCCTACCACTTCTATACTTCAAAAAAAAAATCAGCAATGTTCAAAAAAGTTTTTTGTTCATTTGCTTCATTTTTGCTTTTAGGATTTGTGATGCAGCCACAATTCACTGTCTTTTGGAGCAAGAACTGGCCCACGCTGTGAATGCCTGTTCCCATGCACTGAATAAAGCCAATCCACGGTGCGCGGAGGTGAGGATCTAATGGTAAATTCTCATTCCACAGATTCTTTTGGTGTTACACTTATGTTTTAATACTGTAAAATATGCCACACCTTATGAATGAAATATATGTAGTCTATATGAGTCTCTACCAGAAGTTTATAGTAAATTTGTTGGCAATTTTTTCTTTATTTTCCTTTTCCTGCCATTTTTCCATTACTGCCCTTAAATTCTCTACATTTTTTCTTCTTTCACTTTCAGTCACTTGTCACCTTACCATATTCCTTTAATTCTTTTTTTTTAACTGCTGCATTCCTTTTTTACTTCTTTTTCTTTCTCCCTTGCACCTCGATAAAGGGCAAACTTAGGTATCATCAGTGTGCATTTTGTTAGAGATGTTCATTCATTTTTGAGGTTGTGCACAGAAATTATTCTTACTTCATTTTGTTTTAAGGCAAGAAACCTGCTGGTCTCCGGGCTGCTCTGGTTCAAGTTGTTTTTTATAAATCTGAAATTGTTCTGCAAAATCGAAGACAAGGAAAAAGATTTAAGTTTTAAGTTTAAGTCTTTTAAATCTGACATTGAGGTCATTGTGGTTTTAAATATGAATAAATATTTATTTATAATAGTTTTTTTAAAAATTAAAGCTTTTTTAAGAGCAGTTTTCGGTTTACAGAAAAATTAAACAGAAGGTACAGAGAATTCTAATTTATATTCTCATATACTTCCTCCTACCTCTTCTCTGTATACATAAATTCCCCTGTTATTAACACCTTGCATTAATGTGGCATGTTTGTTACAGTCGATGAGCCAATATTGATATATTATCATTAACCAAAGTCCATAGTTTACATTACTCTTTGAGTACATCTGTGGGTTTGGACAAAGGTATAATCACTTGTATTAGTGTGTCATAGAGAATAGTTCCATGGCCCTAAAAGTTCCTTGTGCTCTACCTATTCATTCTACCTCCCTCCCTTACTCCTGCCCTGTCTATCACTGATCTTTTTACTCTCTTTATAGTTTTGCCCTTCCAAGAAAGGTTGACCTTTAGCAAATAAGCCAAAATATTTTATCATCCTGTGAACCAATCAAATAACCTTAGCAAATAAGACTGCCAATATTCCTCCCATCTAATATATATAAAATAGTAAATATTGAAGTATAAAATCTTTTTTCTTAACTTTTCTATGTTATTCATCATCATGGACTCTATTACTTTTTGTTGTGATACACTGAAAAACTTTAAAATGTCTTTTTTTATGCTTGCAATTTGTTTAATGAGGTGTTAGATTAGAGAAAAAGCCATCGTAGTTCTACTTTAACACCCATTTATATGTGCCTCAGAGTTGTAAACTAACAATTCATTGCAATATTGATTTTAAATAGGCCTTTGAAAACACTCTGAAGTCTTGGGAAGATAAACAGAAGTGTGACTCTGGTAAACCAGTTCTCCGAACCCATTTGTACATCCATCCCAACGACTTGGCCACAGAAGAGGTGTCCCAGATGCAGCTGTGCTCCCAGGCTGCAGAGGAGCTCATTACCAGGTATGGAAGCTCTGCTGCCTCTTTAGACTATGAGAACTCTGCTCTCAGCCAGTTTTGTTTCCTTAATGGTAACACATGGTTTCAGTAGTTTGTGGTGTCAAGAGACACAATTACTCTTCTTCACTGGCTGCCCTGTTTGTGCCTCACAATTGCTACCCTCCTTTATCGGGTCCTCTCCAACACACACACACACACACACACACTCACACACACACACACGTGTCCTCTGCAGTCCAGACCTTAGATGTCCTGAAATACAATGCTTAGCTTACCCTGCCACATCATACTCCTTCCATTATTGTTTATCTCCCCACTTTATACGTAATCATTATGCTAAACTACCACTTATCTATTGCCTTATAATTTTTTTTTTTTTTGAGACAGAGTCTTGCTTTGTTGCACAGGCTAGAGTGAGTGCCATTGGCGTCAGCCTAGCTCACAGCAACCTCAAACTCCTGGGCTCAAGCAATCCTCCTGCCTCAGCCTCCCAAGTAGCTGGGACTACAGGCATGCGCCACCATGCCCGGCTAATTTTGTCTATATATTTTTTTAGTTGGTCAATTAATTTCTCTCTATTTATAGTAGAGACGGCGTCTCACTCTTGCTCAGGCTGGTTTCAAACTCTTGACCTCTAGCGATCTGCCCGCCTCAGCCTCCCAGAGTGCTAGGATTACAGGCGTGAGCCACCACGCCTGGCCGCCTTATAATTATTAATCAGATGTTTATGGAATGTAGAAGGATGTCTAAACGTTAACCTCGTTCCCAAGGAGAGTCAAGAAGGAAAAAAAAAAGAGTTCAAGAACCAGTTTCTAGCAGATCTGTAACAGATTTTGAGACCACACATTTTGGCAGACAGAAAGGGAAAAGATTAAAAAATAAAGCAAGTCCTATGAGTGTTAAAATAAAAATCACTGTAACCGGGAACAAACTTCAGAGAGGAGGAGGGACTGGTCACTGATAAAAATGTTGAGAAAGAGAAGAAGGAAAGCAAAGTTCAGTGGTTGTGGGGCTAACTTGCTTCCTCTCCCTCCCTCGTATTGCCATTTGTCCTACCTCTCCTTCCTTACTTTCCTCTTTAAATATTTATTAGATGCCTAGAATATATGAGATATTAGACATAGAAAAGATACACACTCCCAACTGCTGGACCAGTATTCAGAATTAGAACAAATTATTACAACTATAAGATACTGGGTAGCTCAGAAGAAAGGAAGAAAAACTGAATATTTACTCAGCTAAATCCACATCACTGCATTCTGTACATCTCAGCTTCTTAGCCACAGGGATATTCATTTTAGGGTAAATGCGTGTCTTTGAGATACCACAAACAACTTCTGTGGCCTCTGATATACAGTGTTTTCTTGAAGCCAAAATATTTTATCATCCTGTGAACCAATCAAATAACCATACAGCAAAGAGGAAGTGAATGTTGACCAGACTTGCTTTTGGTCAACCTAGTTTGGTTCCTCATCTGTTTTTAAATTTTGCAAAAAGTTCATTTGTCTGTTTTCAGAATTTATTCATCCAATATGCAATAAATATTTCTGAGCCTCTTATGTGGGCCAAGCACAAGATTAGGCACAGGAGATACCAAGATGACTACGTTATGGCCCTGTTCCATCTGTTCACAGATGAGTGGGACAGAGAAGTGTGGCCAAAGTGCAGTCACTGGGCACGCTGTGGGCTCTGCAGACACACAGGGGAGGCCGGAGGCAGTGAAGGAAGGCTGCTTGCAAAAAGTCACCTTTTAGCAGAGGCCCAGAGGGGTGTAAGTTCTTGCTACTTTCAGGAAATCTCAGAGAGTTCGAGATGACTAAGAGGTTGGCATAGTATATTCAAGTATGTGGGAAATGCAGATGGAGAGGTGAGGAGGGGCCAGGTCTTTATGGGATGGTTCTGGAAGTAGCATGGAGGATTATATCAGAAGACAGCAAAGCTGGGGCTGGATGAACACTTAGGGTGCTACAGGAATAGTCCTGAGAAGAAATGATGTATTAAAGCAGTAGAGATGGAAAGGAGAAAAGAGATTTAAGACAGTTTAGGATCTAAAATTGGTGTATGGGCATGAATTAGTAGACAGGAAGACCTTAAGGTTTCCAGTGAGTGGCTGGATGGATTGTGGTGGTTTTAAAGGAGCAATAGTATTCAGCAAGAGGAGCAGGTTTGAGAGGCAAAAAGGATGGGTTCCACGTGGACTTCAAAATTTATATTACATTAGAAATAACCCGGGAGGAGATTCAACAGGCAATTGGAAAGGTTGATCTGAAGTTGATTTACCACTTTCCTTTTCTTTGAAAATTAGAATAGCATTTACCCATCTCTGTTCCTCTGATAAATAGCCCATCCTTCGTGATTTTTTAAGATTTTTAACAATAATGCTGAGGTGACATTAGCAAGTTCCTTTGTGCCTTGGATAGCAGTTGTGTATGGTCCTTAAGAATCCAACTCTTTCCCTTTACTCTTGATTTGACGACATAGGGCTCTGTCCCTTTTCTTGTTCTGTCCTTCCCAGATTGAAGGTCCTTGTCTATGAAGATGTGAGAAGCGAAAAGCATTTGAATAGTCTTGCCTTCTTGCTCATCTGTAAGCCTTATGTCATTTTCTAGCAAGCAGAGGAACTTTTACTCCTTTCTCTTCTTTGACCTTAGTGCATTCCAGGATTTTGTCTTTCCAGGACTTTTCTTAAGAGGTTTGGATATAAGAGGACTATGGCACAACAGGCTTTGGAGTTGGGTAGACACAGATTCAAAGCCTGGCTCTACCACTTGTTAACTCTGTATAGTAAATCTCTCTAAGCCTTGATGTCTTCATCTACAAAGTGGAGAAAATGAATTATAGCTACCTTTTAAGGCTGTGAATATTAAATCAGATGATGCTTATAAATTACTTAGCATGTAAGTGATAATGTTCTTCCTCTAATCTGTTGTATTTGAGGTTTCAGTGAATGAAAGACAAGTTTTCTGTGCTTAATATTTGTGATCCCTCTCAGTTTCCAATGATTCTGCAAAATGAAATGTTACTATATTTTGTTTTCTCGAATGGCACTTTGATATGTTTATCTCTGATTCTAAGCCTAACTTTTTATATAAAGATTTCTTTTTATTTTTGTAATTTTTTTGTTTGTTTTGAGACAGAGTCTCACTCTGTTGCCCAGGCTAGAGTGCCATGGCACCAGCCTAGCTCACAGCAACCTCAAACTCCTGGGCTCAAGTGATCCTTCTGCCTCAGCCTCCCGAGTAGCTGGGACTACAGGCATGTGCCACCATGCCCGGCTAATTTTTTCTATATATATATTTTTAGTCGGTCAATTAATTTTTTCTATTTAAGTGCAGACGGGTCACCTCTTGCTCAGGCTGGTTTCAAACCTCGTGACCTTGAGCAAATCTCCGCACCTCGACTCTCAGAGTGCTTGATACAGGCGTGAGCTACTACATGCCCCAACTATATATAAGATTAAATTTAAAACTCCTTTGTTGCAATGGGGTTTAAACTTTTGTTCATTTTTTTTTTTTATCTACTTTTTTTTTTTGTTTTTTTTTTCTTCTATATCTCGACAACTCCACTCCGTAAGACTAATATCAACATGTAAAATTTTTTATTTATCTTTACTTTTTCACACTTATTTATCTACCCCCCCCACTGCTTCTATACTTCATAAAAAAAATCAGCAATGTTCAAAAAGTTTTTGTTCACCTGTGCTTCATTTTTGCTTTAGGATTTGTGATGGCAGCCACAATTCACGTCTTTTGGAGCAATGAACTGGCGCACGCTGTGAAGTCGCCTGTTTTGCCATGCAGCTGAAATAAAGCCAATCCACGGTCGCGAGGTCGAGGATCTAATGGTAAATTCTCATTCCACAGATTCTTTGGTGTTATATCTATGTTTTAATACTTAAAATATGGCCACCACTTATGAATGAAATTTATGTTGTCTATATGCAGTCTCTACGAGCAAGTTTTATAGTAATTTGTTGGCCAATTTTTTGTTGGCAATTATTTCCTTTTCCTGCCATTTTCATTCTGCCCTTAAATTCTCCTACATTTTTTTTCTTTCAGCTTTCAGATCACTTGTCACGCTTACCATATCTTTAATTCTTTTTTTAACTGCTGCATTCCTTTTACTTCTTTTTCCTTTCTCCTTCGCACCTCGATAAAGGGCAAACTTAGTTATCGTCAGTGTGCATTTTGTTAGAGATGTTCATCTCATTTTGAGGTTGTGCACAGAAATTATTCTTACTTCATTTTGTTTTACTAAACTGGAAATTGATCTCCCTAAAAGTTTTAATGTAGAAGCTAATAATAGAATGGATAGAATATAACTCTTGTGCTATGAAATGTGGTACATGGTAGAATGCTATAGTATAGAGAAAACTGATAGCATTATTTTATTCTTTTAATTATTCAATTGAAGTTACCTGAATTAATATATAAGTAAATGCTTATTCTCAAGATTAGGGTCTAAAAGCAATTTGATGGCGGGGCACAGTGGCTCACTCCTGGGAGGCCGAGGCAGGAGGATCGCTTGAGGCCAGGAGTTCAAAACCAGCCGGAGCAACATAGCGAGACCTCAACTCTACAAAAAAATAGAAAAAATCAGCCAGGCATGGTGGTGCGCACTTGTGTCACAGTGACTGGGGAGGCTGAGGCAGGAGGATCTCTTGGCCCCAAGGAGTTTTTGGTTGCAGTGAGCTGTGATGACACTGCACTATAGCCAGGACAATAGAGCAAGACCTCAAAAAAAAAAGAAATTAAAAAATAAAAATAAAAAGCACTCTGGTTGGAGTTACTAAAAGTGAAAATCAGTAGTTAGAACTATAATCAGATAATGCCCCTTTTAAGATACCATTTTCTTTGACTTAGCTTTTTTATGGAAATAGATACAAGTTGGTATTAGCATATACATATTTGTAGGAAGGAGATGTGATCCTCAGTGTATTCACTGTAATTAGAGCATTCTTTTAGTTCTGTGATACAAAATTAGAAGAGATATTCACACTAATAAATGCGAGTATGAAATTTTGCAATTATAGAATTTTGGTAAATTTTAAAAATATTTGTGCTGTAAATTTAAATTGTGAGAATAAAATTGAAAGCATTTACTAGTGATGGCATCCAAACTGAACATAGAATCACACGTCCTTGATATTCTTCTTTTCTAGGGTCTTACGAGAGACACCGCCACGGAAATAGCCATCAATGTGAAGGCGCTGTATAATGAAACGGAGTCCTTACTAGTTGGCAGGGTTCCTTTGGTAAGGAAGGAAAATGATTGATAACATAAGAATGATGAAATAAATGTATGGGCCTCACCTTCATTAGAGAACATGCATTCAGCAGACTCGAAGGCAGAACAGCCTTTTGGCCTCCATACTTAGAGCTTCTTTTTTACCTAGCTTTTGTCTTCAACCACATGTCTGACTGAAATTGGGAGTTCTGAGTCAGGCTAGGCTCTAACAGGAATAAAGATTTCCCTTCACGTGTACCATCATGTTTTTATGCAGCCCCGCTCTCCCCAGTCAGCTTTGAGAGACTTGAGCTATTTATAAAGCCTAATAGACGTTCCTCAGGCACTCATTACCACACACGAGTAGAGGAAGCCGTGGGTTTTATTAAACCCTCCATTAACATTTGAAATATGACCGGTATGGTCCTCCAGATTTGCTTACAAGAGGACGCTTTCTAGACACAATTTTAAAGAACTAAATTCAAGAACGATCCCTAGTTTCATTCCGATTGGTCCTGGAAATCAAATGTAGGCAAAGCCTGAATCTGACTGCAGTTCTTGGACCTCAATCAGAAATGCTAGAAGCCGGCGGATGCCCTGTTTGCTCAGCCCCAGAGTCAGCCTTGCTTTACAGATACCTCGCCAGTGTCCAGTGTTCTAGCCTACTGGGTCTTGTCGCCACCTAGAGTTTGATTGTGGCTTAGTCACACACGCTGTTGGCACTGGGTAGAAGGCTTGATGTGTTAGTTATTTTTTAAATCCTTGTTACAATTCTGACTAATTGATAGGTGGTGATCTTAAAACATTTCTTTTGACAGTAATTGCCTCTCGTGTTTGAGCACATATATATACCTAAATAAAAGTGATATTAAAAATCATAGTATGTGGCACAGTGGGTGATTGAATGGGAGGGGCATCTCACAGTCTAGCTATTGGGAGGGGCATCTCACAGTCTAGCTATTGAGTGCCTGGGCTTGGCATCTCTATTTGCCTGTGGACCAGGAGAGTGCCACCTTTTTGGCTATTTTTGCCACCACTGTTTTTAACCAGAATATTCTGCTGCTCTTCTGAAATAAGTCCTGTAGAAAATCCCGTGAGCTGTGACTTGGGTCTCAATTTTTATATTGAGTTACATGTATTTTTTTGTGTTATTTGAAATATATTTAAGATAATTTCTGACAAGAAGTAGAAGCATAAATTATTTTGTACTTTTGTTCTCTATACACCAGAAGTATCTGCTGAATACAACGTTGCTAATATTTACCAATTGTTTTATATTAATATGGAACGATATCCCCCCACTTTTAATTCTCTGTTGTTGTCAAATGTGGATGTTTGGCTTATTATATAGAATTTTACCAACAACTTTGACAATAGTTATATCACAATAAAGAGTTGGTTATGTTTGAGAGCAACTAAGGTTTACTTTTTATTTTACGTCTAGAATGAATAATAACCATTTTATCAATTTTATAAGACATATATTCTTAGACTTAAAGGAAAGTAGTAAATTTTGTACAACAGAGTGAAGAATCTTCATATTTTTATTAACTACTAGAAGTGGAAGATACTTTGGATAGCAAGAAGAAACAAAAAAGAAGTTTATAATAAAAAATAGTAATATTCTTTCTGAACTTTCAGTTCTAAAATTCTATGAACCTATATATCGGGACTCTATAATTTTAAAGTACTTTATAAAAGCATTGGTTAGCTAGAAGAGACATCAGAAATAATCTAGTCACAATGTGCTATTTCTGGAGGAGGAAACTAAGTCTCCTGAAATCAATTAACCTTCCCTTAGTGGTGGGAACTAGTTAGTTCCCACAGTTAGTTCCCTTAGTTAGTCACAAGGCCAGAACTAGAATCCAATCAACTGCCTTCCAATTCTGTGCATGACAATGTTTATTTCACCTTTATTCATGCATTGAACATGTAAATGTATTTTAATAACTGTTTCTAATGGGTTAATGTATATAACACGTGACCAGTTAAATTCTCTTTAAAGTATCCAAACCCTATTCCAGATAACAAGCCATTTAGCCTTTTTCTTTGTCCTGATTTTTACAACAGTTTTTCATCACAAATTTTTCTGAGATTCATAGGTTTTGTTTTTCTTAAACTTATCCTTTAAATTCTCAAGGAGATTTTTCTGCAGTCTAGCTATTGGGAGGGACATCTCACAGTCTAGCTATTGAGTGCCTGGGCTTGGTGTCTCTATTTGCCTGTGGACCAGGAGAGTGCCACCTTCTTGGCTATTTTTATATGACAAGTTTTTGGCCAATTTAAGAAATATTATTTGTTCCCCTGGTGACCTATGTAAATTGGAAGGAATTTTGGCACAAATAAGTAGAATAATGAGACTAATCACTTGTGCAAACAAGAATGAGTAGATAGATGCTTGGAAGGAGGAATGGAAGGGGTTTACATAGAAGAAGCACCAAAAGCAATACTTTTTCTGTGAAGTTATTAAAGTCACAGTAGCTACTTATATAATCTTTGGGAAGTAAGGATAAAATTAAATCTATCCAGATTTTTAAAAATGAAGTTAATAAAAAGGAATGTTCCTTTAAAAAATTTCCTTAATTTAAAAATACTAGCCTAATAAGAGGTAAGGGTATTCACTGTCAAAATAAAATAATTTATTCTATTTGAGGTTTGTTACTGAGTCTTGTTTTATTTTTTAATCTGCTGGTGAATAGCAGTTGGAATCTCCACATGAAGAGCGGGTGTCCAATGCCTTACACTCAGTGGAGGTGGAGTTGCAGAAATTAACAGAGATTCCTTGGCTTTACTATATCTTACACCCAAACGAGGATGAGGTATGTAAATTCAGCCTTTTTCTTTGGAAATGTACACCTTATCAGCGTAGCATTTGAACTCATCTTTGAAAAAGAGATATTTAGGGAAAAATACATTTTGAATACTACTTTCAAATATACTGTTCTTAAGCAAGTAAGAAAAGGCATTTATGTGAACAAAGGCAATTTATGGGAATTGGTACATTTCCAGTAGTACATCATGAACTTTTTTTTTAAGAAGTTAAAACTGCTCTACAATGGCTAGTGTTTATAACCTATTCCCATTTCATCTCTATTATCAGAGTGGGTTTTTGTTCTCTTAATACCCTGAAAAAAATTCTTTTCTTGCTTGATTTGAACAGGAGCCTCCTATGGATTGCACCAAAAGAAACAACAGAAGCACAGTATTTCGCATAGTGCCAAAATTTAAAAAGGAAAAGGTTCAGAAGCAGAAGACAAGTTCACAGCCTGGTAGGTTGTCCACATGGGAAGGGGAAAGCATAACATTATGAAAAAAATAACTTATTAAAGTGATATCACTGCAGTGATGAAAGTGTACCAGGGCTAGACAGTGGTGAATATTGCACACCATTATGAGTACACTAAATGTCCTTCAGTTGTGCACTTTAAAATGGTTACAGTGGTGAATTTCCTGTTATGTGAATTTTACCATAAAAAATCATGTCATACCTAAAACATGTTAAAGTCTCAGTAGGAATCTGTAGTAACAAAGCACA